GGTACAGGAAGCTGGACTAGATGGGCCCTTGGCCTGATCCAGCAGGGCTGTTCTTATGTGGCTTTGGCTGCTGGATGGGTGGTATATAAATCAAATAAGTAAATAAATAAACATGTTCTTATGTGTCCTTATTTAGACAAATATTTTTCTCTGAGTTTCAATTTCTAATACAGTATTCAGGAATAGATTTGCAATTATTTCCAGTGTCTAAGGAATTTGCCAGTTTACTCTTTTGTTTAAGCAGCCTCTTTTGAAAACTCTTTCATGGTTGCATGCAAGAGAACAATTGTATTCTCAAATTATAATGAACATTAAGTGCGAATAGTCAAATATTTATTAAAAAAAACACAAAATATAAAAATTCAAAATGAAAGCTTTCAGTGTCCGAAAAATCTTGGTTTAAAATAAAATCAGCAAAAAGTTATAGAATATTGCAACTGGAATATTTACATACTTTAGAAATAATTATTATCTAAGCATCAGATCAACAGACAAGTTTCCAAGGCATCAGTTGAATTTTGTACCTTTTGAAGTTGTACAGTTAAATTACTAACAATCTTGTTTACAAATGTTTCTGCTTTGACCACCATCCCATATTTAGTATAGCTGGAACAGGAACGAATGGTTTTTAGATATTTCATCTAAATACATGGGGAAAATTTTCCAAACAGTATGACAGTGGTTCCCAAACTTGGGTCCCCAGGTGTTCTTGGACTACAACTCCCAGAAATCCTGCCCAGCACAGCTAGTAGTGAAGACTTCTGGGAGTTTTAGTCCAAGAATATCTGGGGATCCAAGATTGTGAACCAATGCACTAGGAGATATTTTGAGTCTTGATTTGTGAGTCTGTTTCCTTGGCTTCATTTCAGCTTTCTTATGGACTCAGAAAGTTGACTAGAGGCTCTTAATTCTCCCAAGAATTCTAACTTATTTCTTCTACACATTCATTTACCCATAACTAGGTTTTTTACTTTCCCATGACTTGGATGGAGTCACCTAAGCTTTACAATTTGGTTTTCTACCCACCTCCTCTTCTTGAAATTATTAGACTTTTAAGCTGCTCTCTGCTTATGATCTTACTAGTTATTCGCAAAAGCGATTATTCCATCCTGCTTAGTCTCTGCATCTTCCTCTACAGTAGCCTTTTGACCACATATCCTTCATGACAGGCAAAGCTACAGGACAAATAGTAAACAACATTCTTCATATAGTAACCGGAATAAATATTTTTGCACCTTAATTTAATTTAATATATAGAAACAATACACATATAAAAATAAGTATCTTGTATCTACAGTTACATCACCATGTATCAAACTCTTAATTCATGTGAGCATGCTAGTTGTCCAGGTTGCCTTATCCACACTGCATCTATTTGTGGGTTTTAAATTTTCTTTCCACCTAATATTACTGATTCTTTCAGATTCACAGGAACATTCTGTTTTTCCACTGAAGGTGCAACTTTGGGAACAATGTATTATTAATTTGATCAATATTTCAAGGCTTTGTATATGTTGTGGTAAGTTAGTGACTGTGACAGCAAGGTGGAACTAATACATGCTGTCTGCTCACACATCTCAACTTGCTATTATCCTTTTATTTTTAATATATGGTGAGAGATGTAAACTGGAGTAGGTGAAAATAAAAGAGGAGGTAATAACACACACCAAGTATATAGTAATTTGAAAGTGACACACACACTGATCTCATGCCTTCAAGAGGACAGTCAACCCATAATGCAGGATAAGCAGCAGCACAGAAGTGCTCGGCAGGGATGTTTCCTCCTGTATTCGAGAGCTCTCCTCACTTCTCCTTTTGCTTCTCCAACAAAGTCTTCAACATTTTGCACGTTGAGCTCAATAATGTTAAAGGTGTCAGCCTGCTCTTCAACCAGCAGTGCTACCTGCAAGAAGAGTTCATGGACCTCTCTGATTCGGGACTCCAACTTCATCAACTCTTTGTGCCGTGTCTCTATCTCATTCAAGGCTGAACGGGCTCCCTTTGCATCAGACAGAAGGTTCTCGGAGAAAACATCCCACCTCCCCTGTTCCATCATGTCCTCTATCTGATTCCCAGACACATCCTTGCCCATAATCTCTAGCTGTCGCTGAATCCTAATCTTGCAGTTCTCCCGCTGGTTCATCTCAGTCTGATTGTATTCAAACATGGCTTCTTGAAAAGCATGCATGAGATCAGCATAGTGGTCCTTCGATACACGAGCAATGATCGAGTTAGAGCCATATGTTGTTTCTGCATCATTACTGAAGTCTCTCAAAGCCTGAAGTTTCCTGTGGATATCTTCACCACGGGCTTTGATGTCTTTTGCAATTGTGTTTGCATCCCGTTTTATGCTACTAAAGCGGCGCATTGATGTAAGGAAGCGAGCATTTTGTTTGCGCAGACGCCGAACATCCTCCTTTAGGTGGTAATTGCTTGTTCGGATTGCTTGAATGTCTTTGTAAAGGCTTGCTAAAGCATAATCTGTTTCAAACAGAAGTGTTTTGTGAGGTGTTTGCAAGTTGTCCTCAGCAGAAAGAGAATGTTGGCTGTAAAGCCGAGAACGCTCATAAAGCTCAAAGAGACGGTCTCTCATTTCTGCCTCTGGGAAGAGAGAAAAAATACAAATAAATATGAGCAAATCAAATCATACAGTTTTTTAAAATACAAATAAATCAAAACAGCACTTTTTCGTTCTTTATCTGACTACCCTTCTACAAACCAGCAAGCAGGAGTAATGCTCCAGATATCTTTACTGTACTTACTTGTGGACACATTCAAGTATAGTAACTTCCTGACACATTACTGATTGTTATAAGCTACATGTCCTAATATAATTTGAAATGCTTATCTATGCCACATTACATAAAAGACAGGAAACACAAATCATGCTTTGCAATGAAAATGTAGATCATTGTTCACACATAAGCACAAGCTGTAGTGTTGATCAGTATCTAAACTTAAAAGTTTTCCACCCATTGATATAAATGAGGCATGAAGACTGTAAACTGAGAAGCAACATTTCCAGCAAGACTGTGGTTTTCAGTGTAAAGTTTTGAGAATCTTAATGTTATCGCAATTTGCTCTGACATGATTCTTCGGGACATTTTTGGTAATTTTTACATCATTAAGCTTAGCTTCAAAATTGTTCCATTTCTCCTCATGTACAAAAAACAGATAGTGCAGATGTATCCTTTTAAAAAAGTTTTAAAAGTGTGTGTGTTGGATTAGAACAATTCATCTTTACTTTAGTGGAGCTTGGAAGTAACAAGTTATACAAGCAGTGTAGTTACATGTAACTAGTTGCTTTTTTGGATAACAAAAGTATAACAAAATTGTATTTCAAAACCAATATATCAAGTAGTATCAAATATAATTTATTGATGCAACAAATAACATTTCCTAGTTAGTTTCAAAAGTTACTTTAACCAGCATTTTAGAGACATTTTCTTAGAAATTATAAAAGTGTATGTTATTATTAATGTCCTCCTAAAGTTGCAGCAGAAAGTAAAGAGCAGCAGAAGAGAGAGAGAATGAGAGAGAGAGAGGCAAGGAATAATGGGAATAAACCACATTCAGAAGTAATTTTTGAAGCCCTGTTTTTAGCCATTCCAAGAATATCATCTTATTTATTCATTTACATTTTAATCCACCCAGATATCTCAGTGTAACTCATGGGAACCACCCATTTTATCATCACAAGAATTCTAAATGAAACTGCTGGGTAGCTTCAGTGGTTTAGACACAGGTTGGGGGATGGATTCCCCCACGGTGCCTCCTTGACAGCGGCTGGATTCAACGTTCACATCTGTTATTATGAAATGTTTTGAGAGATTGGTGCTGGATTACATTAAGGCTAGTCTTCCACCTTCTTTGGACCCAAGGAAATTTGCATACAGGAGAAATAGATCTACTGATGATGCTGTGTCCATTTTACTCCATACTGTATTGAGTCACTTAGAACAACAGAGAACCTATGCGAGGCTGTTTTTTGTGGATTACAGCACTGCTTTTAATACCATTCTACCCAATAGGTTGTTTTTTAAAATGATCAACCTGAGATTACCTCATAAGATTTGTGTGTGGGTAAAGGACATTCTGACAGATAGGCCACAGTCAGTAAGGAGGGGATCTCACCAATCTTCTACCCTAGTACTAACTACAGGAGCTCCCCAGGGCTGTGTGCTAAGACCCTTCCTCTATTCCCTGTACACACATGACTGCACCCCACTGTATAACACCAACACAATTATTAAATTTGCGGACGATACGACAGTGGTGGGGCTCATAAATAAGAACAATGAGTCTGCTTACAGAAAGGAAGTACCAGGGTTGATACTCTGGTGTAAAAAAAATAATCTTGCACTTAACATCAAAAAGACTAAAGAACTTATAATTGATTTTAGGAGGAATAGAAATGTACATTTACCACTGTACATAAATGGCGAGGAAGTAGAGAGAGTTGGTAGTTTTAAATTTCTGGGCACTTACATCTCAGAGGGCCTCTCATGGACTATAAATGCCAACATGCTAGTGAAGAAGGCACAGAAGAGTCTGTATTTCCTGAGAATGCTCGGCAAGTTAAATTTATCTCAGCATTTACTTCTGTCCTACTATCGTAGCACCATTGACAGTGTCCTAACCTATGGCATTCTGGTATGGTTTGGGAGTAGCTCTGTAGCAGACAAAAAAGCTCTACAGAGAACCATTAAAATTGCCCAGAATATTATTGGGCTCCAGCTATCAACCTGGATGACATCTTCACATCCCGCTGTCTGAGGAAGTCACACAACATCCTGAGAGACTCTTCCCATCCTGCTTACAACTTTTTTGAACTGTTGCTGTCTGGCAGAAGATACAGAACAATTAAGACTTGGACCACATGTTTTTTGAATAGTTTTTATCCTAGAGCTATAATGGCACTTAATAATGAGTTTAAAGACCACCAATAGTGAATAGTTGGACAGTGTTACTTAGCCTGCAGTGTAGATGTTTGTATTCTTAGTGGAGGATTTTAGTGGGTGGGGAGTGTTTGGGGAATTTTATGTGTGTGCATGTGTCTGGTCTCTGGGTGTCTGTGAATTTCGTTGTATGTGTATATACTTACAATGACAATAAATTGATTTTTAAATTTTTTTCCTTAACTCCGTTTTCTTTGTTGAAAGCCCTCCTTCTTTAATCCCACTCCCAGCACCACAGACCCAGTCTTAATCTCACCCCACTAAATAATACTTTAAAGATACCAGTGTTTCTATTCACAGATTTTCTGCCAGTTTGGTCTCAGCTTTGATGTGTTGATTGCAGCCAGAGTAACAGAATGCCCTCTCCACACTTAATAGAACATATTAGCGGGAGTAACAGAAATAGAGTGAAACTGTATGTTATATCTCACAGGATGCTGAACAAATTAGAATAATCAAAATAATGAAGAGAATGTAGCTAGTTTAGGTAACAAGAGATTTCAGATATGTGATTCTCTTATATGGAGAAATTTAATAGGATCTGTGCTATTACAAAACACAGATACTTCTACCTAAAGCAGAGCAAGTGAAAAAATAGGTACTGTTCTTTACTAATTGTAGCATGATATGCCAAAATATTGTCATCCATTCTTTTCAGTATTCTCTAAATTTACACACATTCTTCATGGAACACAGGTCATGAGATACAGCTTGTATTATTTCCATGTTAATGACTGGTTGACTCATAACAACTAAGAAGCAAATTATGCAAGCACGATTACTAAGCACCAAGACAGTATTATATTTTCAATATACTATGGCTTCATTAGACCTGCTAGATACATACTGTCAAGTGACAGGACATCTCATGATTGCTACATTCTTGAGTACTAATGTCATTATGATAGCAGGTTATTCCATAACTCCTAAGACAAGATTCCTTTAATCATTGATCAGAAATTCTCAGGGTATCTCAGATGCTTCTTCATGCTACACATTTTCCATGGTGTGTATGTGTGTATTCATGTAAACACATACAAGACAACCAAATGAATATATGACTGTATATAATTAGCAAAGGAATATTTGTGAAGTTTAACTATAATGCCATTCTAACTCTCAAAACAATAGAAAGCCAAAAATGTTAATAGATAACAAATGTTAATATACAAATAGGATCCAAAGTTGCATAAATGTTTAGTTGAGTAATTAAACATCTGAAGAACAACCTTCAGAACACGGGTAAATACATACAAGACAACCAAATGAATATATGACTGTATATAATTAGCAAAGGAATATTTGTGAAGTTTAACTATAATGCTGTTCTAACTCTCAAAACAATAGAAAGCCAAAAATGTTAATAGACAACAAATGTTAATATACAAGTAGGATCCAAAGTTGCATAAATGTTTAGTTGAGTAATTAAACATTTGAAGAACAACCTTCAGAACACGGCCAAAGAGCCCGAAAAACCCACAACAGCCACCAGATCCCGGCCATGAAAGCCTTCGAGAATACATTGTTCATGATTGTTGAAAATCTTTTAAGGCTGCAGTTGTACAAACATATTTAGTGAAGGGAAAGGCCCACTGAACTCAGTGCGCCTTACTTCTGGGTAGACATGTACTGCACTAGAAGTAGTACATGTGAACCCCAGAAATATTGAGGATACCTGTGAACAGAACAGTTGAGGACTATGAAGTCTTGTAGATGACTTCTTGTAGATGAGGCAACCAATCCCCCAGGTGAAATACAGCTTCCAGTGAAATACTTCTGATATAATAGTAAAGCATTATATTTTTCACTCACAAATGCCATTACAGAGGTTCAGGAAGCATCACTTTTGAAAAATGCTATATAGGAAATATGTGTGAAAGTTATGGATCTGTTCACATCATATTTCTATCTATCAGAAGAACAACACTTGCCTTCCTGGGCCTTCATTATCTTCCACAAAATCACATCTAACAAATTTAATAAATGTAATTTTAAAAAGTAATAATAATCCAGGCTTAGACTAACATTATTGTTATGGGACCATGCTGTGAGGCACTGATGGAAACCCAGGATGCTTTTAGAGAAGTGTCTATAGTGAGGCTGATTGAAAAAATGGCTTTCCTTTCCTCACTGTAACAGTATCTTAAGTGCAAGACTTCATTTTCCACCATAAAAGCAAACCTTTGGCTTGAGAAAGGAAAGATGTGCACTCGGACACACCAGTGAAATGAGATTACAGGATAGACACTGGATTAATATTAACAAACCAGTATTTTACTTCTCAATTTAAACTGGAAGCAAGTTTTAGACTTAAGACCATCAACTATAATCAGGGCTGGCAGAGAGAGACGTATTTGAGGCATCTGATTTTTGCTGTCATGAACGGGTAGCAAACAGTTAGTGATTTAACTTGTTGTAGTCAGGAGTGGGAAGAGCCCTTTGTGGGTCTTTTTTCTTCATATGCTTTATATTGGGCTACTGTACTTATGATAGACAGTGGCACTTGCTGCTCTGCCTCAGGCAACAAAAACATTTGGGCCAACCATGACTATAATGCAGCATCAGTAGGAGCAAAAGACTTAAGTGACAAGCTTTGCTCTCCCACAGCTGACAGGAAGCAAGTGGGGAACTGGCAAAAACTAC